AACTAGTTTCCCTCCCTTTGATATGGGCTGACCCTGTCCTGTGATTTGCAGCCAACTGAGGGCACACATTGTGTGACTGCAAAGCTTTAACTTCAAGAGGCCTTGCAGCTTCCTCTCTTGCCCTTTTGCTGCCCTGAGGATGCCATGGAAGGAAGCCCAGGCTCACCTGCCTGGGGATGGGCTGTGAGGGGGAGAGAGAGAGAAAGACCCAGCCATCACCACAGAGGCCCAGACATGTTACTGAGACCACATGGGGCCAGCCAGCCCCCCAGTCGACACACCAACCGATGACAGCCACATCGGTGACATCCAGTGAGACCTACACGAGTCACCCCTCTGAGCCCAGGCCATGTTACGGAACTGAGAATAAATTCAAGTCATTACATTTGGGGATAGAAAACTGATACATCCTCCCTGGCTACTGAAGTCAGGATTCTGGTGCAAAGTCAAGTATATTCCTACTTTAGAAGCTTTCTTTTTCCTGCTTGGATATGTTACATATTATGCCACAAATAAGTGTCTTAGAAAGCCCAGGAGGGAGTCATTATGGAAAGAAAACAACCTCCTCTTCATCCGAAGGTCTAGTTCCTTCTATTCTATACGTGTGACACCTTCTCTTGCCATCACAACTACTGTCCCGTCTACCTGCTGTAGGTCACAGGAAAAACCCTCCATGATTAGAACTGAAATGGTAGAAAGCCATGATCCCATACCACCAGACACAGCCACCGACGGTGGCCACGCACCACATTCCATCAGTACCATCGTTCACATGCACTACAGGGTGGGCTTCGGTGAGCTGGTCTGAGGACCTAATACCCATACGTCGCATTAGTTAAGAGCTCCAAACCGCTAACTTACAAACCCATTTTGTTACAACTGTAACCAATTGATGTAAAAGCAAGCCCAGGAGGGTGCAATCAGTGGACAGTTTCAGTTTCCCCCACTGCTTTCTGGCTCATTCCATCCAATTTCCCATTATATTTTATTTTTTTTATCTATTTTTTAGTGGAGTATAGTTGCTTTACAACGTTGTGTCAGTTTCTACTGCACAGCAAAGTGAATCAACTATACGTATATATACGTCTCCTCTTTTTTAGATTTCCTTCCCATTTCCTTCCCATTCCTTCCCACACAGCACTGAGCAGAGTTCCCTGAGCTATACAGTAGGTTCTCATTAGTTACCCATTTTATATATAGTTATCAATAGTCTACCTCATGATAGCACTAGGCTCAGACTCCGTACTTTTGAATCACTTTCAGGTTTTTAAAAACTCCAGTCAATTCCAAAGTATTTATCTCTGAGCTAATTCAAAGCTTCTCCCCTCCTTTCGGCATAAGCCTTTCCCTGGATGGTCAGTCTAGAAATCCTAGACTCTACCCTGGGATTTCTCAACCTCGGCACCACTGATGTTTTGGATGAGATAATTCTTTGTTGTGGGAGTTGTTCTGTGCATTGTAGGTTGTTTTGCAACATCCCTGACCTCCCAATCCATGCCAGTAGCACACCCTCCAGTTGTAATAAGCAAAAATGTCTTCAGATACTGCCAAATGTCCCTTAGGAGGAAAATTCTCCCAGTTAAGAATCACTCCTCTAGGGACTTCCCTGGTGGTCCAGTGGCTAAGACTCCATGCTCCCAACGCAGGGGGCCCGGGTTCGATCCCTGATCGGGGAGCTAGATCCCACATGCTGCAACTAAAAGATCCCGCACGCCTCAATGCAGATCCCACACGTGGCAACAAAGACCCGGCACAGCTAAATAAATGAAATGAAATGAAAATTAAAAAAAAAAAGAATCACTGCTCTCGACCATGCATTCTCAATGGGCATAGTCTTGAGGGATAAAAAAAAAAAGCGTTAGATGTTCCAATAGTTCATGGGCCCTCCAGAGGGCCACAGTACATAAGCATACGGTGTATCTGTGGCATTAACCACTCACAGGGTTATGTAGAAATTAGGCGGGAAAAGTTAGATGACCCAGATGGGTGGGATGAGGGGGTGGTTGGGACGGAGGTCCAAGAGGGAGGGGATATATGCATACATATAGCTGATTCACTTTGTCGTGCAGCAGAAACTAACACACCATTGTAAAGCAATTATACTCCAATAAAAACAAAATTAGAAATGGCTCCTCGAGGGAGCAGCAATGAGTAAAGTTGAGAAACGCTGCCCTAGACCAAGAGTGAGATGTGAAGTCTGTTCTTTCCCTCTCCTCTTCCTCATTTATTCCACCAGGGTGGAACGGGCAAGGTCTTTTTCTTAGCTGCTGTGATGTCACTGTCGCTTGGCTACTGAATCCCCTCTGCCATGGCAAGCGTCCACAGGTGGGTCTCCTTAAAATGTGGGCCTTGGTGGTTTTTAACAGCTTCCACTCCCCACTCTGTACCGCTCTCTGATGTGGGTAGTACTCCTTCTAGCTGTCCTCCAGCAGTTAACCTTTCTACGGGGAGCCCTCCGTCTCTAGGCAACTCTCCTGGGTGAGACATTGTAAAGATGGCTTTGGTTTGGCTACCTTTCTTGGTTCCACTGACCCAGAGGGATTCACTGGGGTTCACCTTGCTCAGAAGTGAAAGCAACCCTAGCCACGTCTAGCACTCACACTTCTCCCTGACAGAGTCACCAGTTTCTGTGTCCTTAGACTCCAGCGAGCTCCTATCAGGATCTACACAGAGCTCTGCAGCTCTCTGCTTTGGTAGCAATCCATGGAGCACCCTCAGAAAATACAGCCTGTGGTTGAGTAAGCCTCCAGGCTGGGAGCCAGATGCGGGAGTCCCCCACTAGGGGTCTAAGTGCACTCCCTCAAATGCCTGGCAGGGGAAGCCTCCCACCGCCCATCCACTGTTCCCTCGGCCCAGGTGGATCCCTCGACTTACGTGGGCTGGAGATAGGTAAGCAGGGCTGATGGCTTGGCCCCCTTTTAAGAAATTTTTTAGGGATCTATATAAAGTCTCCCTGTAGAACATTTTGTCCTCAGCTTTGAGGCATCATTAAAAATCCCGAGACAACAGGATAACATTCATTAAACGTCCAGTTATCCGACCCTTTCGTCAATTGCGGCTCCACGTGGAAGGAGGAATCTAAGCTACTGTGTCCCAGTTTGTAGCCTGAAAAACTCGGTGATTATGACGGGTTTCCTATTTTCTTTCTCGCTCAACAAACATTTAATGAGTATCTATCAGGAGCACCCTTGCATATTGCAGAAACAAGTCCGGCAAAGCCTCCGCTCTCATGAAGAATAGTGTAGCAAAGGAGTGCAGCCAATGAATAAGGCAACGCCAGTTTGCAGGAAGTGCTGCGGCCGAAAACAGGGCAGGTGATGCAACAGAGAGCGATTGGAAGGCGTGGCGGGTGGTGAGAGTGCTGCTGTGGACTGAAAGGCTGTAGGAAAGGTTCTTTGTGTGGGAAACATTTGAGCTGAATCAGAATAGTAAGAAAAAGCCCATCTTGTGAAGATCTTGGGGGTAAGAATTCCAAGAAGTGGAAGAGCAGATGCAAGGGCCCCCCCACCCCACCCCCGAGCAGGAGTGAGCTGGGCATGTCCCCGAGCGAAGGCAGACATGCCTTGAATACGTTACTAAATGCCTAGCAGCTTTCTATCATGAGTAAAGGGCTGGTGAAATCTACTGATGTTAAAAGTCCTTACCGCTAAAAATACTAGAAACCACTCCCTTCTCTGACTTCCTGATACTAGATTTACTTCTACAAAATTGAGTTTGCATTCTTTCTTCTATTCTGAAGAGAAATAAAAGTTTGCAAAGAGGGAAATGCGTACAGACTCACTCTATATCCGTCTTCAAAGGGCCACAGTTCTGTGTACCATAGACAAACCTGAGGGTAGCTGACGGTATACGCAAAAAAACTATAGATCACCTTCAGGCAAGTATCTCTGGGTTCCTGGTACGAAAATCCCTCTCATATAAACACAGTATTTGTTATCTCCAGAGATTCTGCGTATTTACATTCCGAATAAATCTAAGTAGAACAAGAACTGTATACCTTATCACTTTAGCAGGCATAGATTGTTACTAATAGAGATAATACAGTTATTTGTAATGATACAAATTGAAAGCTCTGCTTTAATGGCTGATGCCAAAATCATCAGGGAACTACCTCTAACTTACTATCAGAAGCTTATTTACCATAATTGAGTTTCTCGTCGTTTCACTTTGTCTTTGACCCTGTATACCCAGCAAGATGCTTCCGAATTTAAAAGAGAAAGTGATTCATGTAGTCACTGCAGAGACAGTTAAGCTCGTATATACGCGCATGGGGACCTGAGAGAAGCCCGATAAATAATAACCACCACGACTGCCCACACTCTCATTCTCTGTGTCACTGCATCTTACAGGCAGCCCTTTAAATGAGAGGTCACTTATGATAAAGCCAAATATGTTTCTGTGCTATTTGAAACTTATGTACGCCATGGTCAGGAAAAAATATTTACATCTGAAAATGCTAAACCGTGAAACTCTAGCCACAGGAAAGGTTTCTTGTATAAAAAGATAGAAGTTTGTATCAACATAATTTCCATAATCATTTTTTCTACTCAGGAAACAAACTCTTGCCTCAGTTTTGCCTTGAGAAACTAACTTTTGGGTATCCCTTCTGCTCCAATGTCTCCAGGGGACAAATCCCAAATCAAAAGCCTTTGAGGATGAATGCAAAAATCCTTTCACTATGTGGGGAAAATAACAAAAGAAATCAATTCTGGAAATGTAGATGATGGAAGAACAATGGTTTTGTGAAATTAAAGAACAATAGTGGATTTCAGATCCATTCTGTGTAGGATGTAGAGAATTAGAAATGAATATCCCGTTTCTTATTTCTTAGTAATCAGGAATTAGTGAATACTCTAATTCAGTTTTGTTTTCAAAGATCATTTATATCTGCCTCCCACTATTACCTATTATCTTGCCATTCTATTGCTCCTTGGGTCTATTCTGATAGTTATTAGTTTACTAGAAATTGTGCTCTCTCTTTCTCATAAGCAGTAAAGTAAGTCAAGGAGATAGGTACTGGGAGATAGGCACAGGGAGATAGGTACTGTGGAAAATTGAGTTAACTCGTCACTGAGTGTATTAACAGAAATGTAATAAGCAAGAAGAAGAAAGACGGGAAGGAAGAGGTGAGAGAGCGCCATTCAAAGGGTCTCATCGGTACTTAGATTACTGCACTAGAGATAACACTTATGTTTCTGTCAGCTTCCTACTTCATTCAAATATGCCAAGATTATTCTATTTTAGTGATGGCTCAGTCATAATTAGCTCCCTCCTCCCTCCCTATCCAAAGTTTCAAGTCTGAATCTCCATTAATGGATTTCATGAGAAATCCATTGCGTTTAAATCTCAGCTCTGTCCTGTAACACCAAATCATTTAAACCCACTGAATGTCAGTTTCTTTATCTATAATAGGAAATCATAATACAATAAAATAGCACAGGGGGCAACTCCAACTCTTGACACAAAGTAACTACTTCACAGGACTTAAGAGTGATTCTGATCTACTTTGTGGCTCTGTTTGAGGAAGTTCTTTCACTTATTGCTTCTTTTATTCTTCTAGTCATTTAAATATTTACTGAACATCAAATATATACCAGGATTTGAACCAGGTGTTAGAGATACGCGACATGACACAGTCCCTAACTTTAAGGAACTTGAAATCAAGTGGGAATTCAATCAAGAGATGCTCCCAAAGGGTCTTCACCATTTGTTAAAACTTCTGCTCTCGTTTGTATCTTAATACTTGAAGGCTGTGCATCACTAGAACAAATTTTAAGACAAAAGTCACTTTCCCAGAATTCCTCAAGCCAAAACTTAGTTTTTACTATATAGTAGCTAATATAATGAAACACAAAGTACAGAACAAAGGAATTTAATATTCAAACCTAATAATTGATTATTTATATTTATACTAACTTTTAAAATCTTCAGATAGAATAAAAAGGAGTCTCATTTTTGACAGATCTTTTATAAGACAGTACTCAATTCCCCTCCCCCCCAGCTTCTCTTGGGTAAGATTTAAGGCTCGTCTACATCAGACTCAACATCACCAAGGAAATACCAACAGAGGGAAAAAACAGAAGATAAAGAGGCCAAAGACAGTGTTTTCTTAGTTTGAAATGTTATAAGATAGATGACACTAGACAGTCCCTCTAATAGCTTTTGGGTGCCTGAGTTCAAGTAGAAAGAATTACTGCCGACCTACTTGCTTCTTGCTTTCCCCTACATAATAGATTGACATATGGATTCCAGGAGGACATGTCTGGCTCAGCACTCACTATAGAAAGAAACAAGAATGTGAAAAGAACATAAACAGATACCCATAAATATAGTCAACTTATCTCTGACAAAGAAACAAAGGAAATAAAATGGAGCAAAGAGAGTCTTTTCAGCAAATGATTCTGGAAAAACTGGACACCCATATGGCAAAAAATAAATAAATAGGCACGAACGTATACCCTTCATAACAATTAACTCAAGTGGATCATACACCTAAATGTAAAATTCAAGACTATAAAACTCCTAAAAGGTAACATAGGAGGAAATCTAAATGACCGTGGTATGGTATTTAGGTTATAACACCAAAGACACAATCTATGAAAGAAAGAACTGATGAACTAGACTTCATTAAAGCTAAAATGTCTGCTCTGCAAAATACAATGTCAAGAGTAGAAGACAAGCCACAGACTGGGAGAAAATATTTGCAAAAGATATATCTGATAAAAGACTGTTATCTAAAATATACTAAGAACTCTTAAAACTCAACAAGAAGAAAACAAACAACCGGGCTTCCCTGGTGGTGCGGTGGTTAAGAATCCACCTGGCAATGCAGGGGACATGGGTTCAAGCCCTGGTCTGGGAAGATCCCACAGCCGTGGAGCAACAAAGCCCGCGAGCCATAACTACCAAGCCTGCGCTCTAGAGAGCCCGCGAGCCACAACTACTGAGCCCGCATGCCGCAACTACTGAAGCCCATGTGCCTACAGCCCATGCTATGCAACAAGAGAAGCCACCACAATGAGAAGCCTGCACACTGTAACAAAGAGTAGCCCCCGCTCGCCACAACTAGAGAAAGCCCACGTGCAGCAACGAAGACCCAACACAGCCAAAAATAAATTAAAAAAAAAAAAGAAAACAAACAACCTGACTAAAAATGGGCCAAAGACCTTAACAGACACCTCACCAAAGAAGACGCAGATGGCAAATAAGCATGAGAAGAGATGCTTCACATCATTTGTCATCAGGGAAGTGCAAATTAAAACAATGAGATGCGACTACACACCTAATAGAAAGGCCAAAATCCAGAACATTGCCAACACCAAATAATAGCAAGGATACGGAGCAACAAGAACTCTCATACCATGCCGGTGGAAATGCAAAATGGTACAGCCACTTTGGAAGACAGTTTGGTGGTTTCTTACAAAACTAACCTTACTCTTACCATAGAATCCAGCAATCATTCTTCTTTGTATTTGCCCAAAGGAGGTGGAAACTTATATCCACACAAAAACTTGCACGGGGATATTTAGAGTAGCTTTATTCATAATTACCAAAACTTGGAAGCAACCAAAATGTCCTTCAGTAGGTGAGTGCTTGAACTGTGGTATATCCGGACAATGGAATATTATTCAGAGCTTAAAAACAAAATGAACTATCAAGCCATGAAAAGACATGGCTGAACCTTAAATGTGTATAACTAAGTGAAAGAAGCCTATCTGAAAGGGCTACAACCTGTATGATGACAACGACATTCTGGGAAAGGAAAAATGATGGCGACAACAAAATAGATCAGTAGCAGGAGGGGAGGATGAAGAGGTGGAACACAGAGGATTTTTAGGAGAGTGAAAATACTCTGTAGGATACTATAGTGATGGATATATGCCCTTATACATTGGTCCAAATCCATAAAATATACAACACTAAGAGTGAACCCTACGGTTGATGGGTCAACGTGGGCTCTTCCTTGTTAGAAAATAAAGTACCATTCTGGCGAATGATGTCAATTATGGGGTAGGCCATGTGTGTGTGGAGGCAAAGGGGCATATGGGAAATCTCTGTACTTTCATCTCAATTTTATTGTAAACCTAAAACTGCTTTAAAAAATAAAGTTTTTAATAAAAAAAAAGAATATAAACATGACCAATTCGGTTTGGTATATGGTTAAACTTGCTACATGCTTTAAACTCCCTTTACTAGACCTTAAGTGTTGGTATTTACCAAATGTTTTAAAAATAAAACCAATAGTTTTTAATTTTAAATGAAATGACTGAAAACCTGCATTTAGATACGTAATATTAATACAGAGTTCAGGCAGGAGAGTGCCTTGCAGAACCTATTTTCTTGTTTGTTCTCATTTCTTATCACTTTTTACCCCAACACTAATTTTTCCAATGCTCTACATAGGTACGGCTGAATGACACCTGGCACCAGGACACTTTGAAAAAGCCAAGATTGACCAGATGATCCTGAGTCACTGGAGCACAGACAGTGAGATTGTCCCAAGGCAACAAAACTAGAAAATTCACTGACACGAAACTCAATGTTCCTGAACGGAAACTCCAAAATAGATTATACCCCAACAGGGGAGGTACGGATTACAGACACTGAGGCTTTCTCTCCAGCACCAAAAGAGCCAGTTCATTCAGTCCATGAAGTTGTGGGAAAAGCCAGCTGGGTTATTCTATCGATCTGGAAGAGAGTTAAGTCAATCAAAACAATCAATCCTGTTAGTCCACGCACTAAGTGGGGAAAAGAAGAGTCAATGATCAGGGTCTTTATAGTAAAAACAAAACAAACTTGTGTTCTATAATGGATATTTGACATGTGCTAGTATTTCTCCCTGATCTATCCTAAAACATACATCAGTTCTCCACTTAAACTAGACTAAGGAGATGCAATAAAAGCTACCAGTGAAAATCTCTTGCTCTCATCTAAATGAACTATTTTCGTTTTATCCCCTCTTACACACACGTTAGTTATCAACGGTGTCAGCCTGAGGAAAAATTAATCATTCAAATGGATTTTGTCAATTCAATTCAACAAATTCTTGTTCGGCATCTCCATCAGAGACACTTACCCTCCTTATTATGGTCCACTTTCAGAATCTGAAGAAATCTGATGGACCCTCTTCCAAGGAAAATGATATGTACATGTTGACATATACACATACTCTCAAATGCACAAAATATTGCCTATCAGTTTCAAGGACTTAACAGATTCTCTGAGTCATTAACTCTGGTTAAGAACCCCTGTCTCATGTACCTGGAACTAAACTAGACACTGAATTAAGAAAGACCTAATAGACAGCAAAACATAGTAACACACTTTACAAAGCAAAACAGTCTGGTATCATGCAGAAATACAAAACCAAGGCAATAGAATAGAGTCTGGAAGTATACCCACACATACATGAGGATTTTAGCTGTAAGATTTATAACAAAGTTGTTATTTCAAATTAGTGGGGTAAATGAACTATTCGATAAATGGCATCGGTAAAAAAGAATGAAATAATGTCATTTGCAACAACATGGATGGACCTAGACATTATCACACTAAGTGCAGTCAGAAAAAGAAAATACCATATGATATCACTTATATGTGCAACCTAAAATACAACACAAATGAACTTATTTACGAAACAGAAACAGACTCAGACACAGAAAACAAACTTATGGTTACCAAAGGGGAATGGGAATGGGGGAGGGGTAAATTAGGAGTTTGGGATTAGCAGATACAAACTACTATATATGAAATAGACAAACAACAAGGTCCTACTGTATGGCACAGGGAACTATATACAATACCCTGTAATAAACCATAATGGAAAAGAATACGAAAAGGAATATTTATATATATATATATATATATATATATATATATATATATAACTGAATCACTTTGCTGTATGCCAGAAACCAACACAATGTTGTAAATCAACTATACTTCAGTAAAAAAATAAAATAAAATAAATAATAGATGGCATAGGGAAAACCAGTGATTTGTAAGGAAAACAAGTTCAGATCCCAGTCCCACAACCAGGGCTGCAACATTGCACACAGCATTTACAAACTGAACATGGATTAAAGAATTAAACTTGTAGGTGCATGTGTTAGAGGAAAGTACAGAGGAATATTTTGATAATTTTAGAATATAAGATACATCCCTCAGCAAGCCACTCAAAAGTCCTAAAGGGAAAACTGACAATTTTGAGCTTATGAAAATGTAAGTCTTTTCATTTTGTTAATTGTTTGTTTTGCTCTATAGAAGTTTTAGTTTCATGCAGCCCCACCATCTATTTGCTTTCATTGCCTGTGCTCTTGGTGTCAGGTTCAAGATATCATTGCCAAAACCAATGTCAAGAAGTTTCTCTATCTTTTCCTCTTGGAGTTTTATGCTTTTAGGTCTTATATTTAAGTCTTTAATCCTTTTTGAGTTAATTTTTTGTGTGGGGTAAGACATGGATCAAACTTCATTCTTTGGCATGTGGATATCTAATTTTCTCAGGACAATTTATTGAAGATACTATTAACAGCGTCATTTCCTCACTGTGTATTCTTGGCACCTTGGCCAAACACCAGTTGATCCTTATATGTGTGGATTTATCTCTGGGCTTTCTATTCTGTTCCATTGGTCTATGTGTCTGTTTTTATGCCAGTACCATATTGTTTTGATTACCATAGTATTATATTTTGAAATCAGGAAGTGTGTTGCTTCCAGCTTTGCTCTTCTTATTCAAAATTGCTGGCTATTCAGAGTCTTTTGTTCTACACAAATTCTAGAATTTTTTTCTGTAAAAAATGCCACTGAGAATTTGATAAGGATTGAGTGAATATGTAGATAACTTTGGGTAGTATAAACATCTAAACAATATTATTAATTCTTTCAAACCATAAACATGTAATGTCTTTCCATGTATTTGTGTCTGCTTTAATTTCTATCAGCCATGTTTTACAGTTTTCAACGTATGAGTCACCTCCTTAAGTTTATTGTCAAGTAATTTGATTTTTTTGCTCTTGTAAATGGGATTGTTTTCTTAGTTTCCTTTTTGGATAGTTTGTTGGTGGTGTATAGAAGGGCAACTAAAAAGTTTCTGCACAGCAAAAGAAGCAATCAATAAAATGAAAAGACAGTCTACGGAATGGGAGAAAATATCTGTAAACCATATATTTGATAAAGGGTTAATATCCAAAATATATAGGAAACTCCTATAACTCAAGAGAAAAAAAAATTAGGGCTTCCCTGGTGGCTCAGTGATTGAGAATCTGCCTGCCAGTGCAGGGGACATGGGTTCAAGCCCTGGTCTGGGAAGATCCCACGTGCCGCAGAGCAACTGAGCCCGTGAGCCACAACTACTGAGCCTGTGCATCTGGAGCCTGTGCTCCACAACAAGAGAGGCCACGACAGTGAGAGGCCTGCGCACCTCAGTGAAGAGCGGCCCCCGCTCGCCGCAACTAGAGAAAGCCCTCGCACAGAAACGAAGACCCAACACAGCCAAAAATAAAAATAAATTAATAAATTAATTTAAAAAACAAGAAAACAATTAGAACACGGGCAAAGGGACTGAATGGACATTTTTCCAAGGAAGACATGCAAATGGCCAACAGGTACATGAAAATGTTTTCAACATCACTAATCATCAGGGAAATGCCAATCAAAACCACAGTGAGATATCACCTTACACCTGTTAAAGTGGGTATTACTTAGAAACAAAAGATAACAAGTGTTTGCATAGATTTGGAGAAAGGGAATCCTAGTATAATATTGGTGGGAATGTAAATTGGTTCAGCCACTATGGAAAACAGTACGGAGGTTCCTCAAAAAATTAAAAATAGAACTACATATGACCTAGCAATCCCACATCTGGTTATATAATCAAAGGAATTGAAATTAGGATCTTGAGGGTATATGTGCATGTCACATTCACTGAAGCACTGTTCACAATAGCCAAGGTATGGAAGCAACCTAAATGTCCATCAATGAACAAAAGGATAAGAAAGTGCGGTATACACATACAATGGTATATTACTTAGCTTTAAAAAAAAAAAAGGGAAATTCTGCTCTTTGTAATAACATGGGTGCCAGACACATGACAATTACTACATGATACCACTTATATGAGGACACTAAAATAGTCAAACGCACAAAAGCAGAGAGTTGAATGAACTTCCAGAGGCTGGAACAGGGGGAAAGAGAGATAGTAGTCAAGGGGTACAAAGTTTCAGTTCTGCAAAATGAATAAATCCTAGAGATCTACCATACCGTACCATAGTGCCTATAGTGAAGAATACTGTATTGTATACCTAAAAATTTGCTATGTGGATATATCTTATGCTTTTATCATTAATAATAATTTATAATAATCAATAGAGAAGGCATGTAAAAACTTTTGGAGGTGAGGATATGTTTATGGCATAGATTGTGGTGATGGTTTCACAGGTGTATATTTAACTCCAAACTCATCCAGTTGTATAATTAAATATGTACAGCTTTTTATATGTCAATCATATCTCGATAAAGTTATTTTTAAAAAGAGCATTTTTACAACAAAAGACTTCCAAAACAAAGTCGGAGGCAAGTGACTGACAGAGAGAAAACATCCATAGCAGATTCTACAAAGGCTTAATATCTACAATGTACAAAAATGACTTAATATATACAATGTATAAAAATGACTTAACATATATAACATAAAAACTCAGCATAGTAGATGAACAGGCAATTCCCAGAAGAACCAAAAATGACCAATAAACTCATCAAAGGAAACCACCTCTCTGGTAATCGGGGAACTACAAAATTCTAAAATACAATAGCATCTTTTTATTGTGGTAAGAACACTTTACAGGACACGTGCCTTAACAAATTTTACGTACACAATACTATAGGCAAAATGTTGTACAGCAGGTCTCTAGAACTTACTCATATTGAAAAACTGAAACTTTATACCCATTGAGCAGTAACAGTCCAATTTTTCATTTCTCATCTCTCAGACTGGCAGCAGTTAAAAAGACATACTAAGTGCGGGTGCGGAAGGCCAAAGACGGGCATTCCTGTACACTTTTAAAGGGAAGGGTATAAATTAATGAAGTCTTTTTGGAAGGCAATTTCAGGGATGAAATTCAAAGAATTTACCATCCAGTGTGGCACAGGCCCTGGCTCATCAAAACAGATGCCAGCTATAACCAGGTGACAATATCCTTCCGGTACACTCTTCCCAATACATGCCATTTGAATATCAACCCCAGCCATATTTACCCAGTCTTGAAGTGTGCATGCCCTTTGATCCGGCAATTCCATTGCTGGGAACCTATCCCAAAGAAATTCTCTTTTAAGTGCACAAAGATGTGTGTACACTGATGTTTATTTCATCACTGTTTCAAATAGCTTTAAAAAAGGCAAGCAATCTTAATGGCCCCCAAAATGAAGTGGTTAAATTAATTATGGTGCATTCATCCCATAGAATACTATACAGCCATTAAAAAGAATGAGGTGGGGCTTCCCTGGTGGCGCAGTGGTTGAGAGTCCGCCTGCCGATGCAGGGGACACGGGTTCGTGCCCCGGTCCGGGAAGATCCCACATGCCGCGGAGCGGCTGGGCCCGTGAACCGTGGCCGCTGAGCCTGCGCGTCCGGAGCCTGTGCTCCGCAACGGGAGAGTCCACAACAGTGAGAGGCCCGCATACCGAAAAAAAGAATGAGGTGAACCTAAATGGACCAACACAGAAAAAAAATAGCAGAATATAAGGTGGAAAAAGGCAAGTTGCAAGTCACAGAACAACTTGTATACTTAATCCCATGTATTTAAAAACTATGCATAGGTTTTCATGTGTAAGTATGCATATAGCATGATGTGCACGAATACATAGTAAAGCATAGAAAAGAGGATGCAAGAACGTGCAACACTAGTTCTAAGAGTCACCTCTAGCAAAGAAGGATGAAGACAGAAGAGGGAAATGGCATTTTGCTTTGTGTACTCTGAACTGAAGTTTGACTCATCTACAATGAGAATACCAATAACTTTTTAAAAGACATAAAAATATATATAGGAAGCCCTCGAAATACTAGGTGCACTCTTCAAAATCACTGCATGACTGAAAGGAACATTCACCTTTAGAGATAAAAGTCAATGTCACTTCTCGACATATAACCTGAAATACTCAAAGTGTTCAGAATAAGACACATGTCAAGGGCAGCGTTCTAAATAGAATTGATTGAACCATTTTTAAATTAGCTAATGCTCAGTTTTAAATATCTGACCTCTGGGTTTTACCCAGTGTCCTTATGTTCTCTCACATTCTGAATTTTGGTTTCTTCTTGAAGGAAAATTCCTAGAAGCACTCAGGGAAAACAGGCTAGCTCACTTTTTAAACATGGAAAAGTCTGAACCCAAAGCCCAAATGTACACTTGTCTCCCTATTTTTTAGAGCAGAACATCATTTGCAATTGATATTCCTCTCCGTAGTTACGGTATTTTATTTCATATTCTGTAACACTAACTCCACAAGGTGAACGGCCAGACTTCCAGTTGTAAAATGCCTATGCCTAACTCTTTAAAGTCTATTATATCTGCAGGGTGCCGTAAAGGAGAAACTCGGTTCTGCAAACAGACAGAATTTAAAGATAACTCTTAGAAATATCCAACAAGGGCTTCCCTGGTGGCACAGTAGTTAAGAATCCACCTGCCAAGGCAGGGGACACGGGTTCGAGCCCTGGTCTGGGAAGATCCCACATGTCGCAGAGCAACTAAGCCCGCGAGCCACAACTATTGAGCCCGTGTGCCACAACTACTGAGCATATGCTCTAGAGCCAGCGAGCCACAACTACCGAGCCCGTGTGCCACAACTACTGAAGTCCCTGCGCCTAGAGCCTGTGCCCCGCAACGAGAGGCCACAGCAATGAGAAGCCTGCACACCGCAACGAAGAGTAGCCCCCGTTCGCCGCAACTAGAAGAAGCCTGCGCACAGCAGCGAAGACCCAAAGCAGCCAAAAAGAGAAAAACGAAGAAAAAGAAAGAGCCAACAAAAATCTGTGTACAACCAGCTCTATGTCTCATAGTCAAGAACACAACGCCTCAGAGGATGTTTGATTAGGTAGCCTTAATCAGGAAGGGAAAAGCCATCTTGGTGGGGAGGCGAGCTTGCCTGGGGAAACTGGGGAAATCTAGTATATTGCTCGTATTTCCTGAAGAACTGTACTCTTCACAATCAAATCTGCTCTAATTCACAGTAGGTGCTGGAAGAGATTTCCTGGTTATGTTTATTAAATCTATATCATTGTTGCATCACATATTGACCCAATTAACACCTTTAGAAGAGCTTCATCAAGGAGTAAAGGAACTACAAGACTCTCTTCTCAATTTTATATCATATTCTTTTTTTGTTTTTGTTTTCTGATTTTTTGGGGGGTTTTTTTTGTGGTACGCGGGCCTCTCACTGCTGTGGCCTCTCCGGTTGCGGAGCACAGGCTCCGGACGCGCAGGCTCAGCGGCCATGGCTCACGGGCCCAGCCGCTCCGCGGCATGTGGGATCTTCCCGGACCGGGGCACGAACCCGTGTCCCCTGCATCGGCAGGTGGACTCCCAACCACTGCACCACCAGGGAAGCCCGATATCATATTCTTGCTCAGAATGCCTGGACAACAGAAGAGTAATTTGAATAGATGGAGTCTATTTTCCTTAGGTAATTAGATTGTGCTTTCATTTAACTTGTCTGGTATATATTCCTTTTAGATTCCTGCAAGACAAGTGAATCACCGTTCTCAAGGTGACAAGAATAGTCAATGAATTTGCGAAAACCTAATGAGGTGATGGTTCAAGTCTAAATATGAGACAATCAAAACTCCGTTATCCTTTCAGTAATTTTAGCCCATTGATGTTTCTTCTAGTTTTAATTGTGAACTTGACTTTTTTGTGGATTTCCTGTGTGAGATTACAGTTATTCAAATAAAGAAGTTCAAACGGTGTTAATACAGACATCCTTATATCCTTTAGGAAAGACCTTTTTCACTGTCGTGAACTTGACATGGCTCTACAAGGCAGAGTCCAATATTTTTCTTTCCCAAGCCAGTAAAATCACAGAAATTTCAAATAACTGGATATATTAAAACCGGAAATGTGTCCAATTTAGGTCAAGTTTTGATTTTTTGGCTGTTCTATCATAATCCTTAAGAGACCTTGTATAGCATCTAAGCTCATCAAATTTTTGAGAACAAAATGTACTGAGCGCCATAAAGAGGCTTTTTGTTTCCACTGCAACTCAGAACATGATGTTCCAGAAATCAAAACTTCATAACAGAGAAAATATTCACACATCCTCAGCGGTTTCAGGTTATTTGTTTCAGGAGGTCACGGCTTTAAATACTCACAGGCAAGAGCAAGATGCCTATTTGGGTGGCCAAAAGGAGAGAGAGAAGGTATGTAGAAAACAAGGCAGGAACTGCCTACCTAGCCCTAATTACTCAGAAGAGAGAAATAAAAAAGGACTGACAGGTACACTACTAAAGGATCATTCCGTTTCAGATCTGAAACAAGTCTGACCACTGGAGGTCTACGTTCTGTCAGGTGTCTAGGCCACAAACCTGCAAGGAGGCTAGCAAATTCTGGGGGAAGTGAAGACTTACTGCTTAACCCACATTCTTGACATAGATAGGAAAATAGGGCATAACTGAGGTTATTCAGTCAGCCCTTGGGAGATCTGGTCCCCCAGATCTCCTTCACCCAGTCATTCCAGGCTATTGCTCTGATGCGGGCATCAAAGCCAGTAAAGGCACATTTGAAAATGAAAGGTCTATCACATTACACGCTTCTTTTGAAACATCAAAAAGCCACATAAAGAAGCGGTCGGACTAGAAAAAGCTGACAAGGAGCAGGGCAGTGCCTGTTAGGACAGCAGGCATAGCT